TTGCCTATTGATCAGATTTAGAGAGAGACATGGCATGTGCTGGATATAAACCCAGGGGCGCAGAAGGTCACTGGGAAAAAGGCACAGCAACCGATATCCTAGGGGAAGCCAGGGACTACCGAGGAGTGGACCAGGCATGAGGCCTGTGTCGCCCAGGGAATCAGAGGAGGCTGTCCTGCCAAGACTTAGAGAGTGGTAGAAAGGAAGGTGCTGATCTAAGCTACCTGGTCTACCGCTCATTCCTGACCACACTTCCCCTACCGCTCATACCTGACCACACTTCCCGTTATACGATGTCACAACGGCCTGAAACAGATGACTCACACCTGTGGGAAATCACTACTGCAGGGCACCAAACAGAGTCGGAAAGCTCTCCCCTAACCCACCTGTCAACTCATGAGTTGTCCTGTTTGGGGACCATCTCCACCCCAACTGATTCTCAACCAACCAGGAGACATAAACAAGGGTCAGGACAAAAATGGTCGACTTGATAGCAGTTAAAACTGGACCAGAGAAGTTGCTATGCAGAGAAGCCTTAATACTTCCTAGTCTAAGTGGTCTGCTCACCTCCCACACCCCTACACTAAATTTACTAACTCAGTCCCACATGGGGCCTCAGGGGACCTAGGGGCTACCCATTTCAGTGCAGAGCTTTCCTTGAAGACTTATCACATGGAAAAGAAGCTGGAGACACACGTGTCCTACAAGAGAGTGTAGGAGAAGCTTTGTACCTGCAAGAACTTTTTCCCAAATTATATGATTCATGTAAGTCTCTTGTTTGGAGAGAAGAGGGAGAAGTGGAAACAACATGCGTATTCCTCTTCCCCAGGCTTCTGGAAGTGGGGGATGTCTTAGCATGAGCCATTGGAGCACACTAGGAAAGAAAAAGAGAGAGCTTTATTCTCTAAGACCCATCTCCACATTCCCCCCAGATTAAAGACATACTGGGCAATTGAGCATCTTATAAGTGGGCATAAGAATTCATAAGACTTTCAGGATGTGAGGAGTCAGGTTGGAGTTCTGGTGGTAGTAGGAGAAAAGAGTATAAGATAAATGTGAAGGATTCTCCCCCAAATTCTCTCAGTCGGGGGTATTGTCCTCCCTCACCAGACCCCTATGTTCCCTGAATGCCTACCAAGCTTCTTAAAATGTTCAGTCCCAAATAATTCCAAACATGAAGGAATAGATGCAAATTACACAATATTTCTTTTTCTTGAAGAGGATGATAAAATTAATATACGTTATTCATAAGGATGAAAATTAGAACCAAGACCAACTATCCACATAACCTGTCAGCGGTTCTGACTTTATCATATTGGCTGATCCCCCTCATCAACTACTGGATTGACATGGAAAAAAAAAAGCACCTAGTTTTCCTGAATTGGGGCTTTCTAACTGATCCTGTCCCTTGGGTTCTACATTTTTGAAACAAAACACATTCGCTGGAAAGTTAGTGAAGTGGAGGATCACCAACAGAGTTATTGGGAAACTGGGTTGTAACTGACTTGTATTCTAACTGCATGACCTTAGCTGAGATGTTGAATTTCTTTTGGCATTTCATTTATCTCCTCTGTAAAGTCAGAGACCTGAAAATGTCAAAAATTCCTTCCCAATTATAATTTTATGTATTACATTCAAGTCTATCAAAAGTCAATAAAATGTAAAAATCGCATCATTTATTGTATATAGCAAGCGCTAAGAGATTTACATGAGCTCACTCCATCCTTCCCACAACCAACCCTATGGGTAAGAACAATTGTCCCCATTTTTTAGGTATGTAAACTTGAGCTCTGGGGCTTCAAGTATTTTGCCCATCATAAGTAGGAGAGCAGGGATTAAAACCCACGGCTTGCTTCAAAGTTTATTCTTTACCATGCACTTCTCTAAAAGTAGGATTTACGAATGGTATTAAATTTTTAAAACCATGTACCTGAATTCCTGTGGTCCCATGGCCATCTGTTTTGAGTCCCAGTTTTCAAATGGCAGCTCCCAGAAGCTGAGTCACCCAAGGTCATAAAGGTCACTGGAATCAGAGCTGAAATGTTTCCTGGGACCCTTGGGTTGAGTGCTCCAAAGCTGTTTGTTCACTTCCTTTGAGGTAGACCCCACATGGCCCCTTCTCCCACAGCCCTTTGTTCTTCAAAGAAACCCCAATCACCGGGGCAGGCATTCTGCAGCTCCTTCTGACTCAGACAATTCCACTCATTTCCTGGGATGAGCTTTCTGAAATAACTCCTTTTATTTGACACAGTTCTATCTCCATGAAGCAGTGTTTGCCGCCTCTTTGATTACATCCCTTAGCTATTCAGACACAGCTGCCCTTCAGAGAACAACACGCCTCTGAAAGCCACGGATTCAGCAGCTGAGTCTGAGCCAAACCCAGGAGATCAACCCCCCCAGGAAACAGTGGGTGATGAGAGCAAAACACCTCACACCCAAGTGGGAAGGGGCTTTGGAATCACCACAAGTACAATCCCTCATTTTAGGGATCAAGAGGGGACAGCTCTAAGCCAGGCAAGGATGGAACCAGGGTCAGAAAGCCCTTCTGGTTGAGAATTTAGTGTTTTTCTTTTGCATTCACTGGGATCTCAACAGCACAATCTGAGAGTCCATTATGATGTGACTTGGGAACTGGGAAAAAAAGATAATCAGCCCTATTCCTCACTTCCTATAGGGATGCATGAATTACAAAGCTCTTTTATGTCCTTATCTAATTTAATTTTATGACTCTATCATGGATTTTGTTGTTGTTGTTGTTGATTTGTTTTGCTGCAGCAGTGAACAATACCTAGATACAAATGGCTCATAACAAAAAAGATTTCTTTCCTGCTCATATACATGTCCAGTCTGGGTTGACTGTGACGGTTCCACAATATTTCCACTCCAGGATTCAGGCTGACGAAGCAACTGTCTCAAGGCCACAGATGGATAATATGGGTTGGACTCCTCTTCATAATATGAGCCCTTTGGTTAAGAAGCATAATAGTATGTCTCAGAGATTAATAAAATAATTCAATTCACATCACGATCACAAGTCAATCCTCTTTCTTTTGAGCATGTATAAGGACCCTCATTAGAGGACTAGGTGACCATTTTGCCCTATGTAAATGCCTGTGTGTTTTCCCCTGTGTAAATGTATGTGTGAAATCAGGGCATCAGCTTGACTATTGTCAGGTTAAAGAGTTTTGTATAGATTTGCCTGAGATGAGTGACATTTGAAGATCTTAACTATGAGCCTCTTAATCATGCCAGTTCAGCCTCCTGCTTCCAATACTTTGAAAGCCAGTGGTTAATGAGGTCAATCAGGGCAGGTCAAGCCTACTACAGTGCATCTGGCTGGACCTGAGTCACAGACCTCAAGGAGGCCCAAGCTGGAAGGGCTTGTTTGGAGGGCAACCAACTGTCCCAATTTTCCCAGGATAAAGGGATTTACCAAAATGAGGGATTTTCACTTCTAAAACTGGAATAGCCTGGGAAAACATCATGTCTACTCACCCTAGGCCTCAATCAATCCCCTCATTAAATCCAAACCTATAATGTTTAGATGGGAAACTCAAGACCAGAGGAGGGCAATACTTGGAGTCCAAGATTTGAACTGGAAACGGACATTGATGTCACATAACCTTAATGTTATTGGGACCTATTCTTCTGGTTTCTCCAACACTGAGGAAACTCCCAAGAAGCAGGAAATCCCATTTTTAAAGTGGGGAAACTGGGAGGAGCTGATAACCCTACTTAATGATATCCTATGGGCTAATAGAGAAAATGAGACCCAGAGAAAAATCAGTTCCCCAAGGTTACAATTAAAATAAACGTCAAACTGGGAACAGAAGTTTTCTTAACACCCAGACTCATGCATTTTCTGAAGTATCATACAGATTTTTGCCTATTAGCAAGTATCTATTTATTCACGTTATTCAGGCAGGTTTTCAAATTTAGTGAAAACTCCTTGAACAGCCTAAGAAATGCCCTGCAGAATGATGGATCAAGGTGGTCCACTGCCCAAAAGCAGTTTTCTGAAGCTGGAAGAGTGCAGCCCTACTCTGAACCTCAGAGTCTCTCTTCTTTAACATCTTCAGACCCAGGAGACCACCTCTACACAGAACCTGGTAAAACCTGCCACACACAAAAGAGAAATGAAACTACTCTCTTCTCCCATAACTGATACCATTTGCTCTCTTGGAGTGCACAATTTACCAGGCAAATACATACAAACAGCTCCTCTTCTCCACGCAGGACTGATACCAGTGGATATAATCTCTTTGTCTTACCCAAATGCTATTCCACAGTTAACACTTCCTGGTGTCTGCCTTAATTTCAACACTCCAATCCTTAATGCACAAGATGTGTGCTATTAGGTTTCTGTGTGAAAACCCACATTTTTTAAGGGAAATGGAATGCATTTGGAAGTTAGCAAGAGCTAAGTTTGAATCATGGCTTGTCCACATACTGGCCATTTGACTTTGATCAAATTATCAAATCTCTATGGCATTCAGTTTTATTACCTTAAACACTCTCCCAAGGATTTTTTTT